GCAGCAGGACAGCCGCGGTGCGTCTGGGTTGTCCGCTGCCCACGTGCTCCGCGGCTTTGCTCCGCTTTGCTCCCCGTCTCCCTGCTCTGTTGGTCTCCAGAGGACCAGGGAGATGGGGAGCAAAGCCGTGGAACATGCCGGCAGCGGGACAGCCACGGCGTGTCTGGGCTGTCCGCTGCCCGCGTGCTCCCTGGCTTTGCTCCCCATCTCCCGTTTCCAGCAGACCAGGGAGATTGGCAGCAAACCCCATTCGTAACTGCGGATCCGACGTAAGTCAGATCCGCGTAACTCGGGGACTGCCTGTATTCTATAGGAGAATCACAGATTACATGGCTACCATTTACCAGTCAATAAGTACAGCAAGCTCTCATTTTTGCAACTAATAGAATATCCACCAGACTGGCATATTATATTGGCTCATTCTCCTTTTCTTTCTAGTGTCAAAGCCAATAAATAATCCAAAGCTGAAGTGGACTCACAATGGTATTCTCCAAAACATCACATTCAACAGCGAGGGGGACCCCATCATCCAGACGTCAGGCTTGTACTTGATCTATTGCAACTTGCACTTCCATCTCACCAACTTCTCAGGTGACACAATTGACCTAAAGATGGAAGTGCTGGTGAATAATGCCACGAAGCGGCAAACATTATTCACACACTGCACCAACAATCAAACAGTATTCAAGCAATGCGCATCAGTCACAAGCTCCAGCGGGATATTTCAGGAGCTCTCCATATTCCATCTGGTGAACCTAGACGCAGATGACTGGATATCAGTAAAAACTGAGCAGTACAAATATTTGGATTTAGATTTCCTTCCCAATGACAGTGTTCTTGCTGTCCTCAGGTACAGTGGGGAGTGCACAGACTGCTCCCTGTAATTAAAATAACCTACCTTCAATGACAATGCCTCTGCTGGACAATACCTGGCCTGAAGTTGGCATCCTTCATCTCGTCCTACCAGGAAAATACGGAACTTTTCAAGTGTCCAAAAGTGACATCTAAAACATGCTTCCAACAGACATTTGGCTGAGAATGACTGACCGTCAGGAACAAGGCCAGCAGGCCAATGGCTCCTCTAAAGAAATGCAACCAAATTAGCAGAACTTCCCATGCTGAGAATAATGCGAGATCTGATATCTCCCACTTACAGCAACAGCTGGGCAAGGGTGACTCGCCGGTGGAGAATGGGACTTCTTTGTCATCGGAGGATTTTGGAATTACACATTATAGTACTTTGAGCTGGCTTTTCCAAAAATAGCCATCAAAGCTGAGATCTGATGCTTTCCTTACAACGACAGCTAGCGATTGTGAATTTGTGTGAGAGTCTGTGGACAGCATCACGGAAAGCAGAGATGGGAAGAAATTAGATCATGAAAGGCAATGTGACCCAGTGGTTAGGGTACAAGACTTGAGACTTGGGTTGTCTTTCCCATTCTGCTGTTGACTTGCAGGGTGGCTTTGCACGAGGTGTTTCACCACTTGTCCATCTTTCATATTTCAACTGTAGGCTCTCTGGGGCAGGGACTATGCCTTTGTACAGTGTCCAGCACAATGGGATACTGATCTCAACTGGGACCTGTAGATGTGTGCATAATACAAATATTAAAAGTAGTAATAATAATCCGTGTGCCTCATAACAAGGTTGCCTCTCACGGTACATTTTCAAGTGCTTAATGAAGTCAAGTTTAAAACGTAGGCTGCGTGTCACCACAGCATACATCCATATAAACATGGAGGAGGAAGGAATAGCCCACACGGCACAAAACACCTGCAATTTTGTGACATTTTCAGATTGAGCTCTGGAGTTTAAGCACCATATTTGGGAATGTTTGGATCCAGAGTTGTGATGTGGCCCCGTGTCACAGGGTGGACACTCACTGCCACAGCGCCTCCTGCTGGTAGCACTGGAAATTAGCTCTTGCCAGCCCACAGGGCACCTCCATCTGACTGGTGTCTCCCCATCACTCAGTTCTCCCAGGCCAGGCCCACGTTGCTCCCCGACCACGGAGTCTCTTCAGGACACTGCCCTCCAGCAGTGCCCACTACAGTTTCTCTCAGCTCCCTTCTGGGGGGAGGGGCTGTTTATCAGTCTCTGCCCTTTGGGGTCTTCCCCTCCCAGGGAACCCCCCCAATTCCTCTCCACCCGCCTTGTCTCAGTGACCCACTGCCAGCCTTCATCCAGTGCTGCCTTGGCGGGAAACTGCAGCCTGAAATGGCCACTCAGCATTGGCAAGGGGGCCGACCTGCTGCCTTTGCCTACTAGGGTTGCCAGGTGTCTGGTTTTTGCCCGGACTATTCATTATTCAATTCCCCCGTCCGGTAAAATTGGGTGGGGGGTTGTTTGGTATTTTTTGTTAAACCAGCTGGCAACCCTATTGCCTATCCTGGCTGCCTTCCCACAGCCCTAGCACTTTGAGGCATTGCTTGAGGCCTTGCAGCCTGGGAGCAAGGCCAGGCCAGAGCTTCCCAGCTCCACTTGCTTTTCCCCAGTACTGCTCTGTCCCAGGAAGCCTCCAGCTTCCCCAGCAGCTAGGTCCTTCCTGCTCCCCAGCTAGGGCAAGAGAACCCCTCCTCTCTCCTGGAGCCTTTATTTATGTAGCCCCGCTGGGCCCTAATTGGCTACCACTGGGCTTTGCTTTCAGTGCTCTTCCAGGGCTGGCGTTTACCCTTAAAGGGCCAGTGCAGGGCAGAGAGGGGTCGGGAGGGGTGGGGGAGGTGGAGGCTGGGTGCTGAGTGTGTAGGGTTGCCAGGTGCCCAGCATCTTCGCCTCCTGGCCAGGGAAAAATTCAGAAAATACTGGACATTTTAGGTGTCCGGTATTCTCTGAATTTTTTTTACCAGACAGGAGCTGAAAATGCTGGACAGTCCAGGTGAATACTGGACACTTGGCAACCCTAACTGCATTTTTTACTTCTGAGTC